GCCCTCCCCTGCAGCAGCCAGGAGGGGTCCAGCCGTGGGGCCTCCCCCTGCCCCTGCTGAGGGCAGATGGCCCAGCGAGCTGGCCAGGGGGTTGGGGTAGAAGTGGGGCGGGTAGAGAGAAGCGGGCAGCTTGGGGAAGGGGCCGGCGAGGTACGGGTTGAAGTTCCAGGGATACTCCGGGAAGGCTCGGCTGTAAGGGCCCAGCAGACCAGGGGGCTTGGAATAGCCAGTGGCACCTGGGGACACGGGGTGCATCAGGCTGGGCCATTGCTCCAGTCAGGGCGGCCTGCCTGGGCCTGAGCGAAGGGTGTCACCCACCTACTGTGGCCCCTGCACTGTCCCCCCCACACCTGTCCCCCCACCCTCATGAGGCTTCCCAGTCCTTCAATGCCCCTGAGAGCCCTTCTCCCAGCCCAGCCCCCTTTCCAGTTTCCCTCCCCGCAAATCCCTCTCCAGCTTTTAAACACACACACACACACACACACACACACACACCAGCCTTGCCGCCCCGCCTCCTTCCTGCATCCGGTCTCCTCCCTCTCTGCCCATCCTCTTCCCTAAAGCTGCAGCATCCCCCTCCCAGCACCCCTGGGACCCAGGCCCTTACCAGAGCCCAGGAATGGGAAAGGGCTGTCCAGACGCAGTTTGTCCGTCTCGGGGGTGAACAGGGGAGCCCGGGCCCCTGGCTCTCCCAGGCGTGGGGCAGAGAACAGGGTCTGCAGGGTCTGGAGGGGGAGGTGAGGGAGGCGGTGCTGCTCAGACTGGCCACGCCTCCCCAGGGGCTCCATGGCTTGGGGGACACCAAATGCTCCAGTTCTGAGACCCCCGCATCCCAACTCACCTCGGGGGTGAGGGGAGGAGCATCTGGCCCCGGGCCCCCCCCAAAGGGACCAGGGCTCAGCAAGAGCGGGGAGCCTGTGGTGGCTGCCGCCACGTCCAGCAGCGGGTAATTGACCAGCACAACTTTGCTGAAGTTGAACTTGTAGGTGAACCTCTTGCCTTTGGTCTTGTGGAGAATCCGCTTGTTGTAGTAGTAGCTGTGGGGAGAGGGAGAAGGGGTGGAGGGAGGGTCCCGGGCCCGTGCTCTGCCAGCCACAGCACAGCTGAGCAAACAGAAGCCCCCTGACCACGGTCCCAGAGCAAGGCGGGCTGAGGCAGGGCCGGGGTCCTGCCTGTGTGGCTCAGAGCCCAGAGTGTGGGCCCTTCCTCCTCGCCTGCCTTCCACTCGGGGACATACTAGACCCGAGGAGAGCCCCGGCTGCGATCAGGGTTCTGCCTGGGAGTCCAGGAGAAGCTCCCAGGAGGGCCCAGAGGGACCACGAGGGGAGGAGGGGCAAGGCCGCAGTCCTCACCGCAGAGCCCGGCTCAGCTTGTCGTAGTTCATGTGGGGCTTGCACTTGCGGATGCCCCAGAGCCGGGCCACCTCGTCGGGGTCCTTGATGACGAATTCCCCGTAGTCCCCCTGCCAGGCGATGACACCCTGGTACTCCTCCTTCTGCAGCAGCTCCAGGATGAAGTGCCACAGCTGGATCTGCCTCGAGCCAGGGGACGACTCCGGCTTGTAGGCCCAATCCGGGAAGGCAAACCCTGGGGACAGCAGGAGGAGTGGCCCTGCTTAGACCCCAGGAGGCACCCCGCCTCCCCAGATGAGCAGCTGCCCAGCCTCAGGCATCTTTAGGGACTGAATTCCTACTCTCCATGCCCCACTGGCTCTCTAGTCCCCAAACTCCCAATAATGGGCAAGAACTCAGCATCGGGCCCCTGTCTTGGCACAGCTCTCCCAGGTTCAGCGTCCTAGGGTGGAGGGTAGGAGGCCCAGTTTCCTGTCCTTGGCTGTGGGAGGGCCAGCCTGCGGGGAAGGCATTAACCCTCTCCCCCTGGCCTGCTCCCAAGGCCTCTGGTCTCCTGCTTTCTCAGCCCCGTGCCTGCCGGCTCCCGCCTCCCTGTGCTGCCCGTCCCTGTTCCATCTCTCCCCAAAGCTCCCCTTGCGGCCCACCCCACCCTGGCACATCCAGGCTGGGCCTGCGCACACATCTCTACGTCTGTCATGTATTTATGCCTTTCTCGCCACTGGGTTCCCTCCCTGCATCCGTGCTGCCGGTCGGAGAGCAGCGTGTCTGCAGATACCCACACTGTGCCCGTCACACAGACGTCCACTCCCCCTCAAGGGCACCAGCTGCACCGTGGGACACAGATGCACCAGCTGGGCATAGCACACCAGCACGATGTGCCACACCAGACACCCAGCACTGCACACTCATCCCAACACACAATTACACGTCTCCTCAGAACTGCAACACAACCAGGCGACAAACAGGACCCCAAAGATCGAAACAGCAGAGGGTGGGGGAGACAGTGAGGCAGCATCAAGACAGACGTGTCAACCTGACGCACACACAGGATGACACCATGACAACACCCCCCCACACACAGGCACCCACACTCAACACCCACAGCTCACTCCGCTTTCCACACTCCAATGGCATCCTGCACCCCATTGTCCAAATATGCCCAGACGCTGAGGGGAGGGGGATGGAATGTGCTTGCTCACCCCTCAGCCTCACCATCCAGGAAGCCCCAGATCCTATACCCATTCCTGGGCCACATCCTCTATCCACTTTACCTTCCTCAGAGACCCCAGGCCCTGGCATTCAAACAAGGCAGGAAAAAACACAAAAGACAGAGCAGAATTGGCCTATAGAGAGCTGAGAGCCGTGCAAGAAAGGGAATGGGGTTAGCGAGGGCGAGGGAGGTGACGCCGAGCTGGGAGACCAGCCCGTGTCCACTGCTGTGTGGTCCCCGGGCCGTCCTTCCCTCTCTGGCTCATTAGGATCTCAGGGGCGGGAGGCGAGGAGGAGCAGGGCCGGTCCAGGCTGCCTGGTGTGTACACGGGGCACCAGGGCCCTCCCTGAGGCCGGGACCGGAAGGCCAGGTAGTCTCCTCCCCAAAGGGAGAGTTTTCTCTCAACTCCATGTGGGGTTTTTCCCACCTCAGACCAAGGGCTCCATCAACACAGGGTCTGGCCCATTCCACACCCAGAACATATCCTAGTGGGGACATGACTATAACAGACACACACACAACCCAAAGGTGACAACGCAACTGGCCACACACAACCCAATCCAGAAACACACCTGTCCTCAAACGCACGTCCTCAAATGTGTGGTGCCTGCTGACACACGGGCGCGCGTGCGTGCACACACACACACACACACACACACACCCAGAGAGAAGACCCAGCACTTCAGCACAGGACACACACACACACAGCCCCAGCACTGAGGCGAGGCCTGGGGCCACCCACCCTCAGCACTGGGACCCCCATTAGGAATGCCAAGGCCATGCCACCGGCCGGTAAGGACCAGGCGAAGGGGCTTCACTCACTGAGGCAGGTGCACTCGGCAAGCTGGCAGACACCCACCCCAATCCTAAAATGTAGACACACTAGATGTGCCACAGAAATGCGACACGCCCCGCCCGGAGCCACCCAGGCAGCCTCAGCTGTGCAGCACAAGGAGGCACACCCGCTCTCTCTCTCTCTCTCTCTCTCTCTTTCTCTCTCTCTCTCTCTCTCTCTCTCTCTCTCTCTCTCTCACACACACACACACACACATACACACACAATCCCAGTGGCCCTTCTTCCAGAAACACTCAAGTGTGACACTCCACAGCCCCAAATAACCAGGCACAGGTCTCTGCACAAACACACGTACACACAGACACACACACACACACACATGCACTGCTCATCTGTGGGGCGTGTGACGTGGACTGAAATCACACCCAAGCCGGTCTTCCTGTCCACGTCCCCATCCTGAGCAGCCTCTGAGCAGCCGTCCTCCCAGGGCTCCGGCGGCTGGGCCGGGTCTCCAAGCCGCCGTCTGGATGATCCTGTCTGTCCCTGTCCACAGCTCCTGGCCTATGGGCCTCTGGTCCCCGCCCCCCTCCCCGCTCCATCAGTGTCTGTGCAAGAAAGGGACCCAACACCGAGGCCCAGGGCCTCCCACCCTCACACGGGGACCCCATTAGGAATGCCACAGGC